ATGCTCAAGCAATGAATTTAGGATGTCTCGATAACAAAGTGTTGTAAGGAATATTTGAACTCAACACACAGGAAGTAAGGCACAGAGAAAATCACATTATGAAGAGTTTTAAATTTATCTTTCTATCATATTGTTTGGGCAAATACTTCAAGAAGACTGGAATGGCAGGACATACATCATTCCTGGGGAACAAGACAAACATTCACCATTTTGGATGGAATATATCAAGGACAGAGACTAATGGGGGCATTTATGCATGGGAAAATATCAACATGGATCTTACTGGAGCATGTTGTGAAGATGAGAGCTGAACTGGAATGATACAGTACTGTGGAAAAGACTTAAAGAATCAATATATATATATATATATATTCAAAGTCATATATTAAGTTTGGTTCTTGGATTATTTATGAATGCTGTTTCAACTGCATAGAATATATAACATTCAATGAAATAGGAGAATCTATAAATAATTAGTAGATAAGAATTTCAAAGAAAGATAGCTGTAACATGGAGGTAATATCTTGGCACTCACCTGAAGACAATAAGGAAAATCACAAATAACAGTCAGGGTAAATATTAACCTGACTGACATTCAAACAGAATACCTCCCAAACACATGTTGGATGTTTAGATCAATAAAACGTTTTGAGTGATTTTAAAGGTTAAAGAAATAGAAAATTATGTTCCTACACCTACATTCTAGGTATAGAACACATGATCAATGACAGGTGACCAAATCAACACGTGGGAATGCATCTCTATCTATAATGTAAAGGTTAAACTGACTACTTTTATCGAATAGAAAGCAAAATTAAATAACGAAATGTGCTATTTTCTATACCTCTCTTTGTTTTTACTTCGTCCGTCGAGTACCTTTTCGCACAGCCCTCACGAAATACACAGTTAACCCGAAATGTCATTTGAAACTCGCATGAGGATAAATATGGCGACGTACTTTTACCTCTAGTGTAGGTATATGAATTTCCCTCCGCCAGATAACTTCCCCTTATTGCCAATGAACATCTGGCAGATGGCACCATAGATCATTTGGTATATGTTATAGGAATCCATAGTATGGGCGAGCGATTCAATAATTACGGCTTTGTTCCTTCAGTAGCCTGTTTTTGATTTGTACGTACTGTCAGTTCCCCCACTACGAAAATTACGCGGTCTTGGGAGTGGAGGGCAAAAAGAAAAGAATAAAAAATAGCATAAACTATGATATGAGCATCTACAAAGAATACCATAAATCGGCGTTAGCTGATTTATAGATGCACATTATCATTATTACATAGATGGCTCGGCAGCATGTAACTTGAGTATATGGTCTTCTGTCCCCTAACCATAATTTTCTATGTTTATTTTAACCTAATGTTTGTCTGAGAGGGATGATTTTATGTTGTATTACATTCCTGATATTTCTCAAAAGTTTAAAATATATGGGTTATGGGGGATGGGGAAGATGTAGAGAAATCCACACTGAATATGTACTGTCTTCTTATTAACACTGGAATCAATCACCCTTCCTGTAGACCATGAGGTACCCTTGATAATAAAATAATGTTTCTGTAATGAAAAAGAACAAATGATCACTGTGAAACTTTTATTAGTGTGTCAAAGAAGAGTGATGATAAGAAATTTGAAAAGAGTCAACTTTGAAATATAACATTTTATATACAACAGAACACTTTAAATTACCTTAAATATTCTGACTATTGTTTCATATAATAATCTAAATTTATATAATATAAATATTTACACACTCACACACAAACAAAAAGCCTCATTTATTAATGTGTTTGAAGCACACATATTAAATGCACTTAAAACTGAGTGAGGTATCTTAAACTAACAATAATGAAAGAAATGTAACTTTTGTGAAGAGGACACATAATTAAGTTCATATACAATGCACACATCTGTAATACTTACTAGTACTTCATTTCATAATTTCTATGAGATGATCACAAAGAATGCCAAAATTACATGAAAAACAATAATTTGACATACTACATACAGTAAGTATCCCCAGAAAGAAACATACACATAAATATTACTGAACAACACATTCATCTATTTAAATAATATGACCTGTTTACTTTGGAAAGTTCCTGAAAATCTCCATATATGATATCTATTCATGAATGTTATGAAAAAAATTGTCAAAATTAAGGATGCACCATACTCCTGTGTTCAGAGCAGTTTAACATTAATGGATTAATTTATGAATTTATATCCAGAACTGTTTAAGCATTATTAAAAATCAAGTTTTATGAAAAACTGTGTCCAATGGGGCCACTGTGTGTAACTGGAGAAGAAATTCATTGCTATATGCAAATGGTTCTTTTAATGTTCCCCCACTATCACACTTCCCTCAAAATAGTCTGTGTCTTCAAACATCACTTTTGATCTACAAGCATCAAGTTGCAAGCAATGGCTTTTCATCATACATATTTCCCAAGTGTTCCAAACTTGTTTCAAATTCTAAATTTGATAATGAATGTAAAATAAGATAAAATCCAGAGCATTTTCATCAATTCTTGAATGATACATTTTTACAAAATTATGTAACTACTAAAGTAATGGAATGTGCTTACAAAAACTGTGAATGCATTTGGAAAAGAAATAACCGTGAAAGAAATAAGAAATGAGGATGCAGTTGACCTGATACATGTCTGATACACACATTAATCTTTCCATTTTCATCAGACACAAGATGATCTCTAGGTTTCAAGCAGTAAATCCTACAAAATGTTTTCAATTACTGCCAAGAGCATTTTATATATTATAGCTTCCTGACTCTTACCTCTCTCGTATTTATATGCATGCACACGCAAACACAAAGATGCACACGTGCACCAATTTTACTGGCACTTGAAAAGTTTTCAAAATATATTGATATGGTGCACCCTAAAGTAAAGGAAATCATGATAAAAGAAAATGCAAACACTAAGAACAAAATGCGGGCAAACAGATCTACATTAAGAGAAATATTTCTTTAAAACTGGAATGTGTACTGTACACATCACACTTTGTGTGTTCATAGAATCATAAGATTATGGTGCAGGCACTAACAGTATCATTTAAAAAGAATTACTTATTACTTAAAAAAATCACACTTTTCACCCACCCACTCTAATAAACAAGAAAATGTGAATTTTTCACTTTCAATTACAAAGTTCACATAGACAATGACTAATATACGATCTAATGCATGCAATTGACTATTTACAGTCTCTCTCCTTTCACACCATACAAACACAACAAACAAATAATCACAAGATACAAGACACTACATAATTTAGATTCCAAAATGATTGCTCAAACGCATATTCGCCAACCATTTCATTAACAAACACTAGTTATTAATTGTAGTATTGCCAACATGTTCTCATTGAACATTATGTGATATAGGTTTGCTTGGTATTTTCCAATACTGGTAACTTAAAGAGTGACAGAGATGCTACTGGACATAAAGTTTTTTAACACTCGGCTGTGTCAAAAAGTGACCAATTGCAAGTTCGGTTTCTCCCTGGAAATAAGCTGTTCTCCTGAGTATTTGAAAAGCTAATGAAATACAGTGGATTAAACATTTTAATTTTGTACCTAATTCCTCCTTGTTAGTTAATAAGTGCAACTGGCATCAAATTTTGAAATACGGCAATTTTTAATGCCTCATAAATATATATAAAAACACATACACATGTAGTACACTTCCCTGATGCTAAAGTCACATGTATTCATGTTCTTTGTGACTTATCTACAAATGCTGATTCATTTCTTCAGTACATTAGAAATACCACTTTGTTCACTGACATTTGGAATTCTCTGCACGAGTAATTTTCAAGATATTCCACGGGTGCTTGGTAAGATGAAAATAAGAACTTTCTCTCCCATTTCTCATATTACTAATTGTGGTAAGAAAAGTAAATATCCTTACATTCTTTCACTGATGCCAAGTTTCCTATTCCATTACAAAGAGCTATATTACATGACTTAATGGCACTTATATTTTGCGGACATTTCTGCATTTGAATGAAACTGAGGCTTTATGTATTAAAACTGACTGATCTTTCTAGTATTTGCATATGGTTGATTTTGTACTGGAATGTATGTCAGGTTCTGCTTTATGCTGCCATCACAGGAATATTTAAATTATTTGACAAGGCTCAGCTCCCAGTTTCTCACTACAGAGGCCTGGGTTAGTGCCCTGGGCAGTCCATGTGGGATAATGACCAGAAACACTCCAACAACTTTGGCATAAAATTGAGCAAGCCTGTGCAGCCATTCTAGCAGAAATCTTAGTACAAGTTTATTGCTCAGCTGTTTATCATTGTCAGGAGTACCTAGATGTTAAGAGCAGCCAATATGAAAATATGCAATATTTAACCAAGTGGCACACACTTTTGTACATGCCAAATATCATCTCTTGCTAAATTATAAACTGCATATTTTTTGTCACTGAAATATGTATACATTTTCTTATGCCACATATTTTCCAATAGTGGATATACATTAATGAAATTGGTTTTCATTTAAGTTACTGTCACCTTGATGAGTTTTCTTTCAACTTTTCTATTTTATGCGATACCAGAACTGATATCTACAAACATTCTGAATGTATTCATGCAGTGATTTTGAAGAGAAACCATTTTCCAAAATGACAGCATGAGTTTATATAGTGTTTATTTAACACAAATATAAGACAACATACAGCTAAAATGTTTGATTCTTCATCACAAGTGTAACGTTTAAACAAAGACAAACTGTTGAAATATTGTTTTCTCTGACTAATACATCTGAATCTGTTTGTTACAGTCATACTATTAAGTCTGATACAATTGCAACTACTAAACTTTTACGAATAATCTGCAACTATGCATTCGTCTAACGCCAACAGCAAAACGGCAATTTTCAATCACAGACAGATTTGTCAAACCTTACCACAAAACAAACGTTTTTATTTAAAAATGAGACCCTCATATAAAACTAAACTTTCTTCTTCAAAAGTTTCTCTCTTTATGTATTTCATTGAACCCCTTCACCTGGCATATGTTTAAATTTGTTCTCAAATAATAGTCACACAAAATAATCTGTTACATTTCCTTTTTCCAGTAAAACCTCTGATTTTTGCACACTCTGAAAGGAGTTTCTGAACCACAGTGCGGGAACCACTAAATTATATGCACTAAGGACCTTGTTCCTTGTCGGTCCTCTCAGCATACAGGGTTCTCAAAACGTCAAGAAACAAATGAAGAAAAGTACAAAAGGCACAAGAAGCATTTAATATTGTCTTGAACAACAACAAGAAATGCTCTGACAAGGAAATTGAAGATTCACTGACTTTTTCATCAACCCATATGATGAAACAAGTCTTCATGAAGTAAAGCAAATGCCAGCTTATACAAAAAATAGACAAAACACACGACAATACAAGAAATATATATAAATAAGTACTCAACTTGAAACCCAACAAATTAAAAATACTGAAAAAAGAAAATAAATTACATTTACTAAAAATAATCTTTGATCTTATTGAAGGTGTTAATAAAATGGCATTTTAACTGAAAACACCATGGAATGTGATAAGAAGTAACACAACCATGAAAAGTGCAAAACAAAAACAAAAAAACAAAAAATGCATTCAGTTTTCACTTTTTAAAAAGGTTTCTCCTTTCCTTACTATAATAGTACTTTCAAATATACAGTTCTTAACACCAGACTTGAAATCCAGTACCTAGCTATTAAATATCAAAAGTTTTATACAACCTTATAAAGACGTTCTTTCTTATATTTGCTTTACAGTTTGGGCTCTTAATAATCAAGGCCACAGTAATTTAAGGCAATACAAATAAGGCCTCAAAGAATCTACTTCTGAGCTCCCTGAAACATCAGTAACCGATCCACGAACAGTAAGGCTGCAGATTCTCTGTGGCTGTACAGAGACTAATATATAATATATACTTCTGAGATGATTCTAACAGCAGCTCATTTCTGACTAGGGTACATTTACCTCATAAAAACAAGTAACAGAAAGATATTAATGAAAACAACCAAAACCTGTTTGTTTCCATAAATGACGGTCTCTTATTCCTGATTTTCTCCATTCTGAACTCCAAGCAGCCTGGCAGCCTCATCAGCAGCAGACGTTGACTGCAGAACCTTATCGATTATTGATCCCTGAATCCCAAGCAAGTTTCCAATTAGGTCTGTATTATCATCATCTGTTTCATCCCTCCTGTCTGTAGCTTCAGTTGTACACAATGAAAACTTTGAGCTTAGAATCTTTGCTGCGGCAGAAGCCGTAAAATTTTCAGAATCATCATCCCAGTGATTCATTCTTTTAGCTGCAGACACGGTCGTTATGTTGTTATTATTGTGATTTGTCATCTTAAATGCTTTCCCATCAACAGATCCTGATAAGGATGAGCCAACTTCCTCATCTCCGCTGACTCCAGTTGTATCTTCTCCTGAGTGGTGCTTCTTGGTATGACGATGGAGCATGTTACGCAGTGTGGTACCACTGCTAGGATGCTCCTCATCTCCACTTACCACAGACATATCTTCAGTTGAATTTGCTGAAGAGTTGTAGATGGGAGTAGAGTTGTTGTGCTTCTTGCGATGCCGTAACATGCTGTGTTTGAGTGTGAAACGGCGTCGACAGATGTCACATGAGAAGGGACGTTCGCCTGTATGGGTTCGCATGTGACGCCGCAAGTCCTCTGCGGACCAGAACCGTCGCATGCAGAAAGCACACATCACCTGGTTTCAATAAAGACAGATCTCATTTGGAGCAAGTAGATTTAAATACAAACAACATATGATAATTTAAATTGGAGCCAGTACACAATTCCCACAATTTTGACTTTCTAAGGTAATTTTCAGTTATCCAGAGTTTTCGAAACATTGTCATTACATGAACCACGCTTCAAATGATAAAGTGTGTGTGTGTTGCATGCACGCATGTGACACACACACACACACACACACACACACACACACACAAAAATTAATCTTCTTCTCTACAATTATGAAGCTATTCTATCTGCAATTATGTATGAATTTGTGATGAGAATGCAAAAAGATGCACCTGACTGGTGTTGACAATTTCCTACCAGACGACACACCGTTGATAAATGAATCTAATTACATTTGGCAAGATCACAGTACCAGAATATAAACAAACCACTAAAGATAACATATTTAATGCCCATTTCACACTAGTTCTTCATCAAAATAAGTCTTTGGGTGATGAAACATGGATAAGCACAGCCATAGAACCACATACTCACCTTTCTGTTGGCATAGTCTGGGAATTTTCCACGTAACTGCTCCAGACTCTCTTCACCTCCTGCAGTGCCATCATCAGGGTGTGGTGTTGGAGTGTTCCTAACATTGTTGTTATCCTCAGTTCCAGTGCTGGAACTGGAGTCAAGAGCTCCTTTTGACATGAGAAGCTCAAACTCTGATGGATGGCTCTCACGAATGTGCTCGAGAGCCTCCTGACGTTCCGCGTAACTACCTTCACACAGGTGGCACTTGAATGGCAGGTCCGCTGAGGATATCGTGCCACTAGTGTTGCCTGTGTGAGGCTCTGCAGCTGAAGATGCCTGCGCAGATGTATAGGCTTTTGTGCCCATCAGTGAACCGTCTGCCAAATTACTACTATAAGAGGAAAAATTGCAAGTATTAATATTCCTGTCTGCTGAGATATTGCACTGCGTAGTTTCAGAGGTGCTTCATCATCTGTGGTGAAGACAGTATGCGCCTCTCAAGTTCCGTTCTGATTTGCCAAATCTTACCTTTGAAACTGGCCCCTCTGGCAATCTGCAGGTGCCGATGACAAGTTTTGAACGGTGTGTTCATCATTTTCTTGCTGCCTAAGGCTATGTTCCAACTGGGAAGTTCCCCTGTCATCATTGGTGTCCTCACTACCACTACCGTGACTCTCATCTCCCTCATATCGGCTCTCAGGGCGACTACCGTCTGCAATGCTCACATTACAGCCCTCATCTGCAGAGATTACGGTCCTGAAAAAAAAACAATAATTAGGTAATAATATTGTTCGATATAAGTAAATATGAACCAATACACGTGAAATGTGAATATTAATGATAGGCACAGTGGTTAAATGTGAAATCTGGATAATCAAAAGAATAATTAATTACCAGAAACATATAAACCATACCATTAACCAACTCTTAACCACTTAATTCTGGAATGTACCTGGGTGTGAGGGGTTGAGCCGCAGTTGCAGGACTCAGTGGGTTGTGTTTTGTCTGCACATGCTTCTTCAGATTGCTCTGTGTTGAGAATGTTGAGCTCGGACAGTAATTGCATTTGTATGGCCTCTCAGGAACATTCCTCATGGTGTAGTTTCCTGAAGTCGAACCAGGCGAAGTCTCTGAACTTGACGATGAACCCCCACCTTGAGATGCTGAAGAGGCAGATTGTCCGCCGTGTTTGCGGAGCAGGTGGCGGTCACAATTTGACTTGGTAGTGAAGAGGAGTGAACAGTGTGGACATTTGTAAGGCTTCTGTCCGGTGTGTGTCAAAACATGACGCCTTAGGGATGATGACCAAGGGAATGTCCGTGGGCAGTATGGACATGACACACGATTTGGTGCTAGTGAATATGCACTTTTCTTCTTTTCAACGCCAGTGTTTCTGATGTTCGTGTTGGGCAGCTCACATTCTGACCTGCAAAACAGATTAACCCTCCTACTCATAAAAAAAACCATGAAGCTGTTTCATAGGCAAATATTTTGCCATCTCTTGACATATATATATTATGTGCTATAGGAATCAGGCCTCTAAAGCATCGACAAAACTGTACCAACAGGCAAGGCAGAACCTGCGTCACTAGCTAAGTCAGACCACCAACAGGAAATATGCAGCTTTTGAATTCATACACAGACGGACCTAACAAGAAGGCGGCGTAGGATAGGACCGAATGGAAGAGGAGAATTGAGGAGGCCATGGACCAAATACGGACCAGACAGCCATAGAAGAAGAAGAAGGTTGAAGTGGCCCTCTAGTGGCATAATGTTCAAACCAGGTTTTGTGAAAACAAGCTTACTACTCTTTTTAGGCACCTCTACAATGAAGTTGCAAGAAATATTCCTGTTAGCGTCTCCATATCTGTCTGGCAACGTGTAAAAGTTGTAAACCACAGAATGGCTTTTTATTAAATTTTACAATTAGGAGTTTAACTAACATTTTCAAGCATGTACACAAACAGATCACATAATGAAACTAACAGACAGTTCATAAATTAATTTCTACTTGGTATTTATATTTACTACTCTTGTCTGTTATTTGAAATGGTTATCTTCGTTTACAGTTCATCTGAGTGCTGACGATTTTATCTGCCAGTTCATAGGAATGTAGCAGTAATATCAGCGTGTAGATAAGTGTCATCTTTTATCTCAGGAATTGACAATAGTTCCTGCTAGCTCACCAAATCCTGTTTGTATAGTTTGTCAAAACAAATCCTATAATTCTTTGCAGCTATAGAGCTTTGAAAAATATGCAGGCTTGCGTTGAGGTAATTCCTAGCTCAGACTGTAAAATAACATAATGACTACAAAAGAATCTATATTCAGCACATAGATTTCTTGCAATAACTAAAGAAGAACTATAAAATTTTTGGTATAAATAGGTTATAAATGTACAAACAAATTCTGATTTTGTTTACTCTCTAAATAATTTTCCTTAATAAATCCTCTGTGTAGTATTGAAGATCTTATGGACAATTAATATGTTCTCAAATGATGTGAAGTGATATCCTGACTAGAAATATGAGACCTGACCAATAATTTATGATTTAAAATTGCGACAGATTGAGCATCGCTCTCTCCACTGTGTATTCCGCTATGCGAAATTGAATCACGATTGTACTCACTTGTTTTCATCGCTGCCCGAATTGTTGCCTTCGCTATTGCTGCCTGCGACAAGTCCTTCTTCATCTTCCTCACTCCCCTCCAAGGCATCTTCTCCATCCTGGGTACCTCGAAAGTAGCGCTGGAAAGCCTGAGTGTGAGTCGTCGCATTATCCAGAAGCCGCGAGACGCTCGCTAGGTCCAAATCTTTCGCGCTGACAGTCACTCCTACTCTACTCCTGCTGTCACTGAACTTCTCTTTGGTTTCCTCCTTTGATTGTTTTTTCTCTGCACCTTCTTCTTCAACATCATTTTCCTCATCAATCACTAATTCATTCTCATCATCATTATCCTCATCCACATCTTTCCTACCTTCTTCTTGACTTTTCTCAGTCACTTCAGCTCCACTCACTGTAGGAACAGGGTGGTTCAATTTTGATTTCAGCTGCTGAGCTATAGCATATTTTACTTCTTCAGATATGAACGCTTTACTATAATTATTGTTGTTGTTGTTGTTATTATTGTTAAGATTCTTATTATTATTAATTATGATACTAGAATTATCTTTGGTTTTCTGGACAATTTCTGCCAGTGTTGAGTCAGTGGTAATCTCGTCCTTTATCTTTGGTACCATTATCTGATGCCGAGCATCTCCGTCTCCCCTGTCAGGATGAAAGTCATCTCGAATCAAATGAGAAATCTGATAGTTGTTTGATGGATCTGGAACGTTGATGATTGTCGGTATGTGCTGCGTCAGTATGTTATTCTTGGGCGGAGTACCGAGGCCGTCAGCATCCGAAGGTATACTTTTCCGTGCCACATCCTGATTACTTGGAATGTTGAGGTTCATGGTCAGGCTGGTAGGAATAGTGTGACTTCTCCTTCCAGGACCAGAACTTCCAACATTGCTCCTCTGCCTCTGCGTCCAGTACTGAGGATGCTGTTGTTTAATATGACGTTCCATGTTCGAGCGGAGTGTAAAACGTGCCGAGCAATGTTCACAGGCAAATGGGCGCTCTGTTCTGTACCTTCTCTGCTTCTGTTTGGGCATAAGGACCCCGTTCTTAATCACCATTTTCACAGATGAGTTGTCCCTTTCCTTTGCTGACTTCGGCGCTACAGACACCTTCAATATAGGTGGTGTCTTGCTGACGCCACTGCCCGAGGCAGACTTGTCAAAATCCTCAGGTGGGATTGCCTGCTGTTGTCTGGTTTCTTCGACATTTACATCGCCATAACCCATCTTCCCATCAGATTTTCCTCTTGAGTAGTCTGAAAATGCTTGATTGTGAATTGCTTGTAGCCTTTCGGCTGTTGAAACCATCATGGAGTCAAAAATCGTTCCGCCAGAGAGTTGCAAATTGTTGATCAGTTCCTTGTGTAGACGTGATCTGAACTCCTCCATATTTGAATTCTGCATCATAGCAGGTGTGTGCGGCATGAAGTAAGGGTGCAAGGCGAACGGATGCTGTGCATGATGGAACGGAAAGCTGTTGTTGTTTAGATACAAGTGGTTTAGCTGCGGATTTCCATAGAAACCTGTGGATGCTGTAGAGTTCATATCCAGCTTTGGGAGAGTGGTGGGACTCGAACTGTTCTCATGAGGTGACATGGCAGTGCCCCTGCTGGAAGCAAGTGTCTGTTTAGCCGAGGGACCGAGCTGACGACCATTAAGGCTTTGTTCTGACTTGGACTGAAAAACAGTGGAAGAAGATCTGTTTTTGTTGTTGTTGTTGTTGTTGAACTCGCTGCTTCGACATTTTTTGGTCAGATCCTGGGGTTCTGTATTATCTAATTCTTTGGTAGGAGTTGCTGCGAAGTTCTTTTTGAAGGGATCTCTTTTTTTACTCAAATCCAATGCATCCATACTGAGATCTAGGGGAGAATCCACATCTCTTTCTGGAGATGGAAAAGAACTTAGAGAATGTCGTAGTGATGTCATTTCCATGGATTCTTTGTTTGGAAATCTTTGGTTTTCAGTTACAGGTAGCTTTGGAAAAGTATTGTTCTTATTTTTGGTTAAATTGACTAGGGCTTCGATGCTTGATATGTTATCATTGCTTTCTCTTTCCTTAATGAAGTCACCGTCATGGCTGGTCTCTTGATCTTCTACTTCATCTTCATCTCTCACGTTAGTCGTCATCGTTGCAACTTCTTGGGTTTTCTCCCACGATGACTGATGTTCTACCATGTTTTGGTGCGCTGACTTGGTTCGTCTAGGCTCATGTTTGAATTCTTCATATCGCTGTAATGTTTTCGATTGCTCATCTGCGGAGTTACTCCTCTTGCACTCGTCCAAGGAATGCTGATATTTTGAGGAATGTTCAGTAGCGCTCAGATCTTCCAGAGAGGATGAGTGCCGGTTTGTAAAAACCAGAGACCTCTTCACATCTTCTCTGACCTGTAATTTTGCTTGAAGATCAGGATCGTTAGTCGGGTCTTCTGAAGGATGATAAATAATGGATTTCTTTACATCCTCTCTTGATAGTTTGGAATGTCTGTTTCTCAGATGCCTCTCGCAATTTGCTTTTGTCGTAAAGGCATAGTTACACAGAGCGCATTCATATGGACGGTCTCCGTTGTGGGTTCTCATGTGACGAACCAAAGTAGCCTTGTCAGGGTTTGAGTAAGGACACATGTTACAACGAAATATTCCGACGCTTGACGACAGATGAGACCGATTGTGACCCTTCAGAGCTCGAAGATTTGGGAATACAGCTGTACAGAGTCTGCAAGGGAATTCTCCCTTCAACTTCATACGTCTGAATTCAGCGGCGAAGCAGTCTTGTTGTTCTTCTTCACCAGCTACTGAATCATTTCGCACTCCGTAATCAGGAGACATTATGCTCGTGTGAGGAGGTGATTTAGACAGATCTTGAATGAGTCCTCTAGCAGATGTCACAGATATAATACTCTGGATGTCTGCCAGGTCTCTCCCACTCTCCCCATTTCTGTCCCCATTCAGCGGACTGCAGTGCATCGAAGTCTCAAACACAGTTTCTTTCTTTGAAAGGCTGCGTTCAAACAGACCTGGCGGTGACAATGAAACTGATTTGTTCTGCAAATCTAGACCTGCGAAGAAGTCCTCGCGCTTACGTTCTTCAATCTCTTCTTCTGATTCAGAGCTTCTCATGGTTAAAGACGCTCTCCTCCGGTTGCTGCTGAGGTCAGTGGGGATGTCACTGTTGCTAGAGAGATCGGCCTCATTTTCACTGCAATGGCCATGGCTGTCCCTCTGGTGGATGTTCAAAGCTGTTGCGCAAGGGAATGCACGCCCACACTTGTCACACTGGAATTTCATGGCAGTGGACGGCTTGTGTAGACTCTTCTCGCAGACAGCGACAGCAATGTGGGGGAATTTCTTGCTAGAGAAATCCACAAACGTCAGATCGTGGAAACCAAGCACGGTAGAATTATGCTGTTGTGAACTGCTTTTTGTTCCCTTGCCGACTTTGTCGTGCTGAGCCATGTGACGGTGCAAGTTCAGTGCTCGGTTATTCCTGAATGTCAGGTCGCAGACGTTACAGCGGATCTGGTACTCCGGGTGGTTTTCTTCCAAGTGTGTCTCCAGAATGTTCAATGATACAAAGTCTTCCCTGTTGCACACGGGACAATGAAGACTTTGCTCAGGTGAACATCCTTGCATATCATGTTGACTATTTGGCATCGCTTTAATTCGTCTTCTGTTTGCTGTTTCACCACTGTCTGCAGCGTCTGATGGAAACAATTCGGGCAATTTCCGTTTATTCCCGTTTTCACTGCCACTTGGTGAAGAAGATCCTGAGGGTTTTGTATCTGTCGGCGACGGGGTGTGGCTACCGACTCGTCGTTTCTTGGTGATGCTGTTGCCAGGCGGAGGAGAGGAAAGGGGACTCTTCTTGCTGTTGAAAGACCCACTGCTATCGGTACTACCGTCGCTCTCGTAGTTGTTGGAGCTCTCCGACTTGGAGGCCAGATTGTTGTGAGTCCTCATGTGGCGATGCATATTGCCGTTCGTGGTGAAAGCGACTCCGCAGATAAGACACTTGAAGGGCCGCTCCCCTGAGTGCACGAGAACGTGGCGGTCCAGCGAACTGGAGGAGCTTAGCACCTTATGACAGATCTTGCATGTGAAAGTCTTCAAGCAATCAACCGGAAGATTCTCGCCATCGTTGTTGTGCGAGCGAATGTGAAGGGTGAAGTCGTGCTGCGAGCTGAGGACGGTGTCGCAGATCGGACACAAGAACTTCATCTCGGAGTCTCCGCACTCTTCGGTGTCTGGGTCATCCTCGCTTCCTGTTCGAGTCCTGGAGTCGGAATTTACTTCACTGTTACCTCGAGATTCATCGCTTTTCGCAAAGTCTTTTAGGTCTGAGGCTTCATTTTCGTTGGCTTCGATACTTTGGCTTCTAGAGTTCTTATTGCTACACGTAGTTTCATTCGTTGTATTGCGTTCATTATCATCGTCTTCTTCTTCGTTGGCTGCTTTCGTTGTACGTCGAGTATCTTCGCAATTCTCAGTATCGGTTCGTGATGATTCGTGTTGAATCTCGACGCCAAAATTTGCATCGGTTACGGAATCTGTTGAAATAAAATGCCACAGCTGATTATAGCATCAATAAATTAGAACTTTGCACTGGTCTGGAAGAAACAGTTTACAAAATACATTTTATGTATTCGGTGTACCGAGGTCGTGAGTAACACAGTTCAAAATAGAAAATAAACCATTCGATTTGTCAATCTTTTGAAACCGTCGGCTATCAACGATGTAAATCAGGTCCTGAAATAGTCAAGTGAACTTGATCTCACACAAATAATTCCTACATCGTAACATCTACCACAGTGTGGCTAAAAAGAAATAAAAAATTAATTTTAAAACCGTACCTCAGAGACAAAAAGTTCAGAGTAATGAACACAAATCCGCAAGTACGAGAAATAGAAAAGTAGCAAGTATTAATTAAAATGGGCCTGATTTAGGTTTAATACTCATTACGTTCTGTAATATCTAAACCAAACTGTTCTAGCAAAAATACATCACACCAAATCGTGCGATCAATCTTATAACAGCAGTGACGGCCATTTTTAGAAAGTTCGATGCATTTTCCTACTCTTTGCCAAACCAAGTCTCCTTATGTATGAACATCATTTTGTCGTAACTGGTCAAATCTGAAGGCATTGCTTTGACCAGAGTTGTCAAATGCCTTGTAATCTCTTTGGGCAAATGTCGCTTGGATCAAGGATTGATTTGAATATAGACCTGTTTCGACGACTGGAGAGGGCATTCAGACGTGTGGCTGTACACCAATAGAATGAACCACTGCTACCTTCTTTGGCAACAGCCTATAATAAGATCATAAAATTTTCCTGTATTACGAAATCGAATGTTAAACTTCCAGCCAAGACGAACAATTTAAAATCTTACTTATTTCATTCTACTTCATAAAACGAGAAAAGAACTCGGACCGACGCTAACAACAAGCAATCACACATAAATTCGAAACACGTCAACATATAATTCGGCTTCTTCAAAAAAGTCCGGGTTTACGTAAGATGTTTCGACCAAGATGTATCTGACGTTAACGCGGGAGACCTTGAAGACATTTCATGGCTTCTGCTGCAGGATGTACACGCGGTATCACTGTTACAGAAAGAATTCTGAAAATAAAATCCCTTATCTTCATTCACTCTTCAAGCGTCTTTTCATCCTGTGATTGTGGTTGACATTCCTCAACTTCCTAAGTAAGACACACGTCACACGATCACTCTGAGGCCTCGTCTCGAGTTACAGAGGGTAACAGACTCAATTTAAGGACAATTGCCAACACAGGTCTTTGGAATTCAACATACGTTGAGATTTTACAGCCATTTTCAATTAAGAAAATAGGATAAAGTTTACACCTGCAGCATCCATAAATACATCCTTTAAAGATCAATGTTATCAGGAAAGTTATCTGATTTACGTAGGCCACAGTGAATTTCATTATTTATTAATGACATTTTCTGCGCCTTACGTAAATGAGATAAACGTCTTTAACACAGATTACAATTTTTTTTAAAACACGTTTGTTTAACTTAACCTTGATTCGATTAAGATATAAGTAACGTTTTAATAACTACATTAATTATTATTATTATTTATTATTTAGTGTTCTGTCTGACGACAGGTCCATATGAACAGGATCCTTCCATCCTTTTCTCGGACTGGGACCTGTTCATATACATTCTTGGCAGATGATCCAGAAGTAGTTTGCCATTGCCTTCTTCTGTGTGTGAATGGAGGAATTGTTGGGATGCCACGGAGGAAAACTCCGTGTTGCCTAGACCACGGCCTTGCCCAACACAAGTTATAAATTCGGGCACCGCCGGGAATCGAACCCGAGACCCCAGGATTACAAGGCCAGCGTTCTAATCGCTAGACCACCGTGGCTACTACATTAATTATCCCACCAATAATAGAGAATTAGTTCAGGCATTGTTACGTTTTCTGTCGTTCTTTTGTTTTTGTAATCGGTCCTATGAGAAAACACTACATTCTTAGTTTCAGACATACCTTCGTTTTGCATTGTTGAGGCTGGAGCCGGGGATGTGATGGAATGTTGTTGCATTGTTGCCATATCTTGCATAGTTGCTAATTGACGTGGATAGCCGAGTTTTTTAACAACTGGACGGAAATATTGCTGTATCAGTTACGGTTGGTTCTGGTGTTGACTCATCCTCGTCCGATGTATCTGAAACGGTTGCATCACGTCAGAAACTGATCTCGACTAACGAGGACTTTATTTTGTACCAAAGTCCACGCATCCACCTGGATACAACAATAATGGCACACAGACTTCTCTTCTGACTCTCCCCTCATACCATAACCTTTAAACCAACTCAGAAACAAGTGGATATGAAACATGCAGACATCTAGTTTAGAGAGAACAACCACGGTTCCGGAGAATCTGACGTAAATACGTCTCTGTAATGTAATGAAATGTAATAATTCTTATATAAGATAATTACTTGTGATATTCTAAAACGTTTTTAACAGCACAATATTATCTACTCTACAACGCACTTCAACAAGCGATTCACAGCTCAGCTCTTTCCGCAATAACGAAAGCGGATTGTTGACGGCAGCAATGAAACACAACAATGTCGAATAAACAGATGCCATAACAATTAGTTTCTTAGTTAAAGGAGTAAAGCATTGTTATGCACGCAGGAGTTCATATAAGAGCTGACCATTGTCGGTCCATATTTGCACATTTTCCTAACGCTGTTTTGCCGAATGACCCTTCCGTATGGACGTATTTACGTCAATAATACGACAGGGGTATTTGTAATTCTTCGGATATTCTTTTCTAAGAACAGGCCTCCGATCACCTCCTCTTGTAAGGTGTAACCCACACATTTCTTGTTTGACGTTACATAAACAACAAAATTGTTTTACAGACGAGAGTTGGCAAACTGCCGCATTCCAATTCTTCCCGTTTCTCACAATCTGCGATCGAAATGGCGGACACCGTACAACACAGAATCAGAGACTGGCATTCAGCAAATTGACGCGTGTATTAGGCAGTTCATTTTCCCGCCGCTGCACGTTTTGTAACACAACCTTCAAAACGACCTCGAGAATAACGAGTTTCAACTTAAATTTTGGAAATTAAGGTAAATTATTATATTAGATCTTTAAGTATCAGTGGCGAATCCTAATCCAGAAATAAAGTTGGTGCATAAATGCAATATCATACCCCCC